GCACTGTGGTTCCTGCTGGCACAGCCCTTCCTTGTTTGGCTTCACTCTCTCTCTTGTGCTTTCATGGATGGAAACCTAATTAAACTACCTTCACTCAAGTCATTGCTTTAGGGTTGGCTTTGGAGCCACCCAAATAAAATACCAATAATTAAATGCCAAGACATTAGAAACATTCTTCACCATTTGTTCTTCCCTCCACCTCTTTCACTCCTTTCCAATGCTCTGATAATATAATAAGATATAAAACTCATGTGATTGACACAGGACCCCACTTGCCTAACATCTAACTGATTGCCCTTTACCTAAGAAACTGACTGAGTGAGTTTATGTGGTTCACAATCCCTGTGTGTTTTTTTCCTTTCTATCGTTTGATCAAATATGGCCTTTAGACCTCAGGTAGTGATAGAGTCCAATACATCTATTCTTGCTCCATCTTGGCATGTATACAGCAATCTCCCCTGCCCAGCTCCCATTTTTTTTCACATTTATTCATTCCCTCCACCAACTATCTATCATGTACCTGGTACATAAAGAGTGTGTCAGGTACCAGAGGTAACCTAAAGTATGAGCCAGCTGTCATTCCTGCTTAAGATTTACTTTAGCAGGCAATACACATGGTATAGGAATGCCATAAGGATACAGCCTGCTGTGGAGGTACCTGGGTAGGTCAAAGGCTTCTTAGCAGGAAAAAAAGTCTTTCTGAATGCCTAAGGCAGAGTATATGGACAAGGCAAATTGAGTATTGTCCATAGAACAGTGCCAGATGGGAGAGATTTAGTTGGAGAGTGAAGAAAGAGCCAGGCTATAAAGAAAATTGTAAAACCTTATTAGGACTGAAGGCTTTAAACCGTCTTTCAAAGGGATTTAAACTATAGAGATGAGAGCAGGTTTGCATTTTTAAAATTGTCTCTGACTCCAATGAGTGGATTTGTGAGGATAACAAACTTGACAGACTAGTTAATACAGGGGGAGCAAGAAGTGGCATTGGGACTGAAGATGTGTGTAGGAACTGGGAGACATTTAGACAGAGACTGATTAAGTGGAGAAAGTAAGAGAAAAGGAGAAATCAAAATGATAATTATTTTGCTGTTAGCAGTTGGTGGACAGTGAGACTGTTGCCTAATATGGAGAAGAACAGAGGAGCATTTGGGAGCTCCTAGGTGGCAACTGGAAGACAGCATGGATGTCTTCATGATGGATGATGGGCGCCATTTTGGATAGACCATGTTCTGAGTGGCATGTGGAAAAGAAAGTGGAGATATCTAATGCCCAGATATGTGTCTGTGCTTAGGAGCCCTGAGCTATAGTGATCTGCACATAGATAGCAGTGAAGCCCCACGAGTCATTTGGTTTGCTGTGGCATTGTTTAGTATAAAATAGGAGCATCAATCAGAACCTAGAGGTGAAATGGAGAAAGAGGACTCCATGATGACTCTAAAAATCTACTGGTGATCTGCAAAACTAGGAAGCTTCTTGTATGTCTTGTGTGGTGATGGCGAACCTTTTAGAGCTTTCAATGATACAAACAGCCCGATGCGGTGCATGTACCATAGGTTTGCCACCACCAGTCTGCTGTGTCAAACACTGAATGTGTCCTTGTTGAAAAAAAAATAGTGAACTACAAAAAAGAGTAAAACCAATAGTCTATGTTGCAAGAAGTCAGAACAGTGATTGTTCTCTGAGGAATAAGTGGTAAGTGCAAGAGGTAAGGGATGAAGGGGCTTTTAGGCTTTCATCTGCTTTTTTCCTTGCTCTTGATTTGGATGCTGATTGTGTTGATTCAACTTGTGAAAATCATCAATGCATAATAAGAAGTGTAGAAATCATAACTAGATTAGTCCAGGTAAAGTGGCTAGAAACCAGATGACAAAAGGTCCCAGAGTAATTAGAATGTGCAAAAGTAAAAAGAGAGGTTTAAAGAAGTTTGATTCTAACGATGATCTATTACTATGTCACAAGCCCTTCCAAAATTTGGTGGTTTAAACAGCAACAACCACATTTGCTCGTAATTCGGAAAGTCAGCACCTTAATTAGATTCATTTGAGTAGTTATTCAGTGAGTTTCCTTGGCAGCTTGACTAGATCTGGGATGACTCAGCATGGCCTGACCTCCATGTCTGACAATTGGGGTTGGCCATTGTCTGATCCTCTCTCTAGAGGACCTCTCATCCTCACATGATGGTGACATCCTAAAAGGATGGGAGTGGAAGCTATAGCCCTCTTAGGCCCCAACTTTCAAAGCTGTATTTCATTCACTGCTGCTATAGTCCACTGATTCAAGCAAGCCACAGCCTTGAGACTGTAGTGACCTGGACAGCACATGTCCATGTGCCAGGGGATATGGTTCATCTCCAATAGGAATTGGTGCGTATTGTCTATCGCTCCTAGATGTTCTTTATAGAAGCCAGAAATCAGAATTTTGTATCAAATCTACTAATTTTTATATTTGGCAACTAATTTACAACACTAGACAACATCATATGATCTGAATAGACGTGCCTGTGTACTAGACGCAGCCTGTGAGCTTCAAACTTACAAACTTTGCAACAGATAACAATGCTTAAAATAGCAGAAACTTTTATTTTGAATAAAGGGATTTCAGAAATTCATCCTATCTCTTTGACTTGTAAGGCATCAGTTTAGATTTTTGGTTCATTTCTCTGGTATAAGAAACCAAAAATGGAAGGATATTGGAATTTAGATTTGCAAAATCCAGTATCTCTTTCCCAACACATCTTTGCTCGTTCTTTCCAGCTTGTAACCTCTACCAGTAAATTACTATCAGTTGATTACTGCCTGACTTTGTTTCCCACTACCAGAAACAGAAACCATGGGCTGGACAATTTATAAACAATACAAATGTATTATTTGACTCCGTTCTGGAGATTGGCAAGTCTGAGAGCACGATTCTGGCGTATGGTGAGGGCCTCTGGGCTGCAGCATAACGTGGTGGGGAAGACAGACACACTGGCAGGAAGAGAAGAAAGTCAGGTTGAACACTTCCTTCCTATTAGGAATCCATCCTGCAATAACCCACTCCTGAGATAACAGTATTAATCTACTTACGAGGGCAGAGACCTGGTGACCCAGTCACCTCTTAAAGGTCCCATCTGCTACAATGAAAGTTAACGTTGTTACAATGGAAATTAAATATCACCATTGAGTTTAAGAAAAGAAATTCAAACAACAGCAATTGTTTTCTGGAATGGAGAAAAGAAGTCTACGCTAGGCTATGGGCATATTGTGTGTTGTGTGGTGTCTGTGAGTGTGTGTGTGTGTGTGTGTGTGTGTGTGTGTGTGTGTGTATTGTCCTAATTCACTTTCAGAGAGTAAATGCAAGGCTCCAGCCAGCACTGCTTTGGTAGAAAGCACCTACTGTGTACCAGGCATTAGACTTTTACTTAGATTTCTCATGGCCTTATTACCATGGGTTTAAAGATCTCAGAGAGGTTTATCCATGCAAGAAAATCTCATAGCTAACAGCTGAGAGGGCTGAGCTTTAGGTGAAATGGTCAGCAAGCATCAGAGCCTGTGTAGTTTTCTGAGCTGCAGAGAACCAGCTGTAGAACTAAAGAGCTCAAATGAAAGTTGTTAGAAAAGAATGTGCCCAACAAAGCCATTAAAGAGTAGTTATTATCATTGTTACTGATGGTGGTAGTGATCTTTCTTGGTTTCTATCCTGGTATCCTTGGAAAACAGTGTTTATCATACTTCAAGATTTGCCACTCTTCCCATCTTGGGAATATTCTCACACTTGCATCCAGATTCCTCTTATTTCAGGTAGTTTTGTGAATGGGAACCTGCTCATTTGCTAAAATGTGAGCACCACGAAGATGGGGAGCTTGGGTTGACATGTCCACTGATGCACCTTCAGCACTCCAACAGGGCCCTGCTCAACACGGGCTTGCTGAAAGTTATTTCCACCTTTTAGAAGATATTTGCTTACTCACTCTATCATTGTGGGAGGAGCCCAGCGAGGCAGAGAACATTGATTTGTGCAGAGGAGATTCCTGACGATGTATACAGTGCTGTCTCCATCTCAGCACTGTGGTTACAAAAGCCCCCCATGTGCAAAGCCAGATCATTTTCAACCAGGGAGACTTTGCAATTTTAATTGCTTAGTTAGTGAATGTTTATATCTTAAAAACAGCTAAAGGACAAGGTGTAGAAAGTAGTGATTGTGAAGTAAAGAAAAAATATGTGTATCATTGCCAACACTTTACAGTTCTCATTCTGGATGTAAACACTCTGGCCTCTCCATCCTCATTTACGTAACATTGTAGTTACAGACATTTCCAACCATCTGTGTTAATGATTGTTTGGCTGGAGAAGCCGGTCACATCTTTCCCGAACCAAAAGCCATGTGATTTTCATTCCCGAAAGGACCCGAATATAGTCTTGGGTTAAATAGAGTGTAGAATTTGGGGCCATGGGCTACAGAGACTTGAAAACCCTACTTTGGAGGAAGTTAAAACGCCCCCAAATCTTTTCATAGTGTCCTGTCTAAATATTCTCTAGAAGGATCAGCAAGTTTCCTCTTTATGATAGTAAATATCTTAAGATACGTGGGATATATGGTTACGAATGGATATGGCTGTTCTAATGAAACTTTATTTGCAAAAAAGTAGAGGCCAATTTTAATTTCCAAAAACCCTACCACAAAGGAATGTATGACCCTAGTTCTATATAATGAGGGTGAGACCCTCATAATGAATTGGTGGCTTTACATGAAGAAACAGCAAACAGTATGGTAGAAATGGACTTTGCGGGCACCCTGAATCTCAGACTTCCTACCTCCATGATTAGGAAAATAAATTTTGTCATTTAAGTCTTTCAGTCTAGAGTATCTTGAATGGCACTACGCAGGCTAATATGAGTCCTAATTGGCTTTTTTTTTTTTCCCCTCAGGAAAATTTTTTCTCATTCTCTAATGTTTTTCCAAAATAAGGAGTTTTTTTGACTGGAAGTAGAAGTGGAAAGAAAACAAAATGAGCCGTTGCAGAAAGAAGTACAGGTTCTTTATGTATATACATGAAAATGTGTTCTCTTTATTCTCACATCTGCAAAATGATTCCTCGGCTTGATGCTGCCATTAAAAGACTCTTCAGTCATGACACAATTTCCCAAATTCTCACATAAGAAATTAGCTGTCCATATTTTGAGTATCTACAGACAAAATTTCTTTCCAAAGCTACTTTGAAAATGAGTACTTTGTTTCACAATATGCCACAGGATTTTCTAACAGTCAGCTCTCCACATCCCTCTGTGATGTGGCGAGTTAAGGCCTTTCCACAGAAGGATGAGTCATGGCCTGACCCCTGGTTCGATGCACAATTGTGCTAGAATTGCCATTCCTTAGATCTCCTCCAAGGAATAACTCTACCAGGCCATGACCACTTCCTACCCTTCATTTATTATATTAATAGAATTTTTCCTTCTGGGAAACAAAAGTTATTATAGATATTTGCAGGATGTCAGGTATAGTATTTACAGGCATTTCAAAAGATTATAGTCAGCTTGAAACATTGAACAATTCATAACAGCTTTTCAAGGTTTTACATGACTTAAAGGTATCAGAGATTTCGATATTAAGATACATCATTTGAACTTCCAGTGGGAATTAACTGTGTCCAAAAATGATAGGTAATTAAGTTATATAGTACATCCCTTGCTCACATTCCATGCAATTCTTACAGAATGTTGCACTTTGTAAACTGCTACTGAATAAGAAACAATTATTGCACTTAATTTTGCTTAAGATTTCTCCAATTACACTTTGGTTTTTTTGTAGTTTTTTTTCCTCAGATAAGAATCTCGCCTCCGAGTAGAAAAACTTGCAAGACAAACCAACGGTAAGATTTCTGGCCTGAGAATTAGTAAGTTTTCTTTTCATTAGCTCTCTCGTCCTCTGGTATTCATTCCATAGACATTTACTGACCTCTCCTATGAGCCAGGCTGTGGAGACACTAGGAACAATATCCCTGCCTTGTGGCACTCCCCACCTGGTAGGTAGAGGCCGGTAGGTTTCAGAACACCTTACAGATAGCCAGTCTGCAATTCCCTGCATATCCTCATTTTTGGGCAATGGTGACGTGGAGAGGACATTAGACTGCAGCAATTTTGCTAGTCCCTGCTATGCCATTTATATATTGTGGGTTTAAACCCAATCTGAGCCTCAGTTACTTCATCTATAAAATGGGGAGGGGCTGGGTTAAATAAATGATTTACTAAGAAGAGTTGCCTGACATGGTGGTGCATGCCTGTAATCCCAGCACTCAGGAGGCTGAGGCAGAAGGATCACTATGAGATGGAGAGCAGCCTGAGCTATATAGTGAACTCAAGGCCAGCTTGAACTACCCAGTGAAATCCTATCTCAAAAAAAGGTGTGTGTGTGTGTGTGTGTGTGTGTGTGTGTGTGTGTGAAATCCTTTTAATTTTTCACTTTTATAAGAACAATTTGCACAAAACCAAGGACTGGTTTGTTCATCAGTCTAAGGTTTACAAAATATTTTAAAATAAAATTCAAGAATCCTTAGGTATTCCACACATACTCAGTACTTCAAAGGCCAATCTAAACCTTCATCAATATAAAATGTCTCTTTTATAAAACCCAAGTAATTAAGTCATTTTACCATCTCCAGCCATATGAAAAATAAATGTTTACTCATAAATACTCATTTCCAGAGCTGATTACAAAATTTCGCATTTCACTAGCTGTGAAATCCTCTCGGGGCGACACTATCTCTTCTATTAGTATGTATCACCACTGTGTGGTCCTCTTAAATCTCTCTGACCTGAATATTAGCTCATGAACATAGACTGGGTACTTGCTTTGAAGAACCCCCAGGAGATTCTGTCCCAGAGATCCATCCAGTCCCTCTACCTGTATCCCATTTGTTGCTCACAGGCCTCTTGGGAACCCCTTTAGCTCCTCAGGCTGTAAGACTATCCTAACTTCTTTGAAAGCCCAAGTGGAATATTAATGTATATTTAATAGTACAAGTGAAACAGCATATATTTTATAATCATTTTTTCTGAAACATGGTAACAGTGAATGTCAAATAAGGTTAGATTCATTAACTTGTAGGGATTATGAAACCTCTGATTCTCTTGCAAGGCAAATTGCACTCATTTGATTATGAAATGAAGAAATTCAAGTTCAAGTCAATCAAATATGACAAAAATTTTACAGAATTATAAAGAATCTTATCACGATCAGATTCCTACACTGACACTGGAGGTTTCTGAAGGATGTGTGCTCCATCTAAGTTTTATCTATGTGCTGTGGATTCAAAGAACCAATATCTTATACATGTTTTCAAATTTTGATCAATTGGGCTGCACCAGAAGGACATATCTTGGCAGTGCTTTGCAGAACAAAGTAAAATCTCTGCTTCAGAACTGGAACTTAATTTCTTCCTGTTACTCTGTGGTGTCAAGAGACAGTATTAATGCTGTCAGAAGCACAGGCTCCTAGAAGCACTGGTCTTCCTGTCCTTACAGTGACTGAAAAGAAACAATTACCACATCCACCATGGGTGAATGCTACTGCTACAGGACCAGACGGCAGGAGCGGCCCTGGAACCTGGGGGAAACTTCATATAGCTCTATAATATCTTCTAGCAAGAAAGGGGATCTCAAGCAGTGCTGCATGCACCACATGACGAGGGCAAGTCCAGCAGGCAGTGGCTGCACACACGGAGGTCAGAAAAGAGGCGGGAAGCTCAGGCAACCTGGATCACAGTTACACATAAATTCTTACTGGAAAAGTGGATTTTGGCATACATCATGGGACTTGATTATATTTTAAGATGTCGAGTAAACGCTACCAACAAGAATGCAGCCCCTTTTACAAGGACAGGTAGAAGGAATTACAAAGCCTTGCTGATGCTCAGTGTCCTGACATCAGTATGACCACGGCCTTCTGCAGTTATCCAACAGGTCCACTTGCTGGACCTGAGAGTGCATTGGCCTGGTTTTGGCTATGAGGTGCTGAAGAAGTCAATGCATGCGTTGCGGGCTTCAGGGGAGAAGTCTCTATGCTGCAGACAAGTATCTGTCTTAAGTCCAAACTTCCATAGGCACAATGGCTTCTTTGGTTCCAACAGAAGGCAGCAGGCTTTCTTCAGACAAGAAATAAAAGGGGAATTGCACTAAGAATCCACGGATCTTCTTCAGTTCTTCCTCGGCTCTAATGGGATCTTCCTTTGCTAATATTGGCTTGTTTATAAAGTCTCTTAGCTGCATTAAATTGTGTACTTCATCATTGGGAAGGCACCGGAACACCTGATTAAGACACAAATTGGAATTTGAGTGATTAGTTTGAGGGACAGTACGTGCCCTTTGTAAAAAAATTCATTCCAGCAGGCAGTTTTGTTTTAAGAAATACATTAGTTTTATGTTAAAGCAGAGACTTGTGAATTACTCCTCTTGAACTGGGGGAATCCGCGACCACCAATCCAACCCTACAAAGAATACTGAAGGACATTCTAAAGAGAGAAAAAAAATAACAGGATATCAGGAACAGTGGCAGAGAGGGCTCAATGAATGGAGCAGACAGTGGAATGAAGGAGAAAAGTAGACAACCAATGGCAGGAAAAATAGCATAGCAGAAATGAGGCAGAGAAGGTTGGCTATCATCTCTAACATAGATGGCCTTGATACACTAAAAAAAAAAAGAAAAAAAAAAAAGAAAGAAACATGCGCAGAGGAAGGTAAGTAGGGTCCACGAGATCCTCTGTATAGGAATTAACCTGAAAAAGGGTTTATGGACCAAAAATCAAATGTGAGAAAAACAATGCGCGAGTTGACAGTAAACCAGAGAGAAATAGGGGCAACTCGACCAGCACCTGCAGATAGGTTGGAAAGACAAGATACTTGTATGCAATAGAGAACTACTTAGCTATAACAAAGAAAAACCTGAGGCTTTTGTAGGTAAAGGAATACCACTTGAGATCAAGTCCAGGAGTGAGAAGGTTCAGAAGCACTTAGGTAAACAGCAGGTTGCCCCCCTACAATCTAAAAACTGAGGGAGTTGGTGAGACCCAAAATGCGCAGTGCACCTTATGGGAGTGAAAGGGGAGGAACAATCTAAAAACAGAAGGCAGAGGATATTGTTAATGGTGTATCAGGGCTTACAAACCACATTGCTCACACTGCTCTGTTTAGATGGATTATATTCCGCTCCAGTTTGTCTACTTGCACTAGATTTGAGGGCATTGACAGCTGTCCCGAAAATACAGGATACAGTATGGTAATCCTCCTTAATTTCCTATTAGCTTAATCTGAAGCCCTGTATAACTTACTGTTTAATCATGACTGATCTTAGTTGAATTTGGTTTGTTAGATTGCTGTTTTGTATTGACAGATTTTATTCAAATCTGTTATGATTAATAGTATCAAGTCTGAGACTATAGGCAACTACACTGAAGATGACAAGATTCACTACAATACCCATTCTGGGTATTACCTGCTTCTGAAACTTTACACTGTCTACAATCTTTTGTTTTTATTAATATTGTTTTGTACTGCTATTTTCAATTATACTATGTATGCCTGATGACATAGACAATTCTATTGAAAATAACAAAAGACAACACAGTAACCACTGTAGAATACCTTGTACTGTGCTTTTATATGACTTTTTCATTGCATATTTTTATAGGAATTTGTTTTGTTTTGTCTTGCTTTGTTTTTTTCCCTCAAATACAGAAAAGATAAAAATACATGTAGAGACTCATGCATGTGTAGATCCTATAAACAGTTTATGAGAACCGATCATATAATGCATGATGAAATGAAAACTACTTTTTAAAAAAAGAGACACTACAGTTCCCAGTGCTGATTCTGTAGTGTCATGATGTGAAATTCAGCAGTACTATTATTCTATGTTCACAGTGATTTTAGCCCGTTTGGTTTTGTTTAATTTCAACAAGCATGAATGTATGGATAGCTATTTTGAAGAGAATGAGAGACACTATGACAGTCATTGTTGACTTCACTATTATCTGATCTTGAAGACCTAAAATGCTTTTGTCACCTTGTTCACATCAGTTCTATACTATGTTGTTTCATGTGAGTTCTCTGTATGTGAAGATATGGACAACTATTTAGAAGAAAGCAAGAGACAATACGATAGATAGTAAAGATCTCTGATTGTCTTGCTTTGAAATTTATATCTCTTACATTGCTTTCTTACGTTCTGTTTTGTTGTGTTGAATTTTATCCTCTTTAAAATAAAAAAAAAGAATTACTGCTCTTATTTGCCATGAAATGACTGCTAGATTTGCTTCCATTGAAAAAGTCACAGATATATCCTTACATCTTACCTATAAAGTTCATTAGCTACAGAATAAAGTCAAGTGAGTGGCATGGAATTACAGTGGTATTACCCTACATTAAGGTACATTTTTGGATAATAATCATTGCTGAATTTCACTGGAGGTTTTGATCTAAGAGAAAATCAACATTATTATATTTTCTCTAACTTTTTATGTTGAAAGACGTTTGAATCTCCCGTACTCAGTGTCACAATTGGTAACTTAGTGCTATAATTCCTAACGTAACACTTTACTGATTGAAAATGAGTTTGGGATGTAAAACTTTATCTCTGTTTATTTCAGCACATATTTCTTAAGAATAAAGATATGTGCCTATATACTCAAAATACCATACTCATACCTTATGACATTTTTTAAAAATAGGATTTATGTTCAGGGTCATCCTGTTCTTTTCAAAAGGGCATTTATCACCACCTATATTTAAACTCCAAATCAGGCTATGTAGTGCATCTGTAAAATTATATTTTAAAAGATTTTATACACATGACCTATTTGGTCATGGCCTTGAGCCCCCAGTATGAGGTAAAGCAATGTAAATAAAAGTCATGTTTCACCAAGAAAGGTTAGTCTCCGTGATGGAAGGGACTCTGTAGGTCATGAAGAACAGACTCTTATCCTAACTTCTCAGAGATGATCAGCTAATCTCAGCCTGAATATTTTCCATGCTAGGAAGCTGGCTACTTCCTAAAGTAACCTGTTTCACTATGACATAATGCTTAACTCATGCTTAGCTCTTGCACATTGTTTATCATAACCAATGGATAAAATTTACCAGGAGATGCTTTTGCTATGCACAGGTTCTGGGCTTAAAATAACTTTATAAAATTAATGCCATCCAAAAAAAGGATAGGCCTTATTATTTTAAAAAGTCTTCATTAGGATGAATACTACTGCAATAATATGCACTGTGTGCTAAACACATTTAAGAGATTATCTGTATCCTCATTCTCACTCTGGTGAATATCACTCCCAGTTTACAGTGAGGGAAAGAGGATTCAGGAGGTTAAGTCACTATACATAAAATTATAACATCAGGTAATTAGAGAGCTGGGTTGAACCCAGGTGTGACTAATTTTTGATCCCACCTGGCTTTGTCACTAAGCATGTTCAAAGGCTGGTAACCAGGTGCTCAGGGTGCTCATGATGAGATTCCATGACACATGAAAAGACAGGATATCACAAAAACCTCTTCTATACTGTAATCCAGGATGCCTTTTGATCTTTGCTGTTTAATGCTTGCAAAGAAACAATGGGAGCACATTATTTCTTTTATACTCATTAAGAATATATGAGTACCAGATAATCATATATCAATCAAATACAGAAATAATGATATGTTTCTTATGCAGAGATTCAATTTTTTAAAAAGGAGTGCAATTAGAAATAAGCAAATCTCACCTTATCATAAATTGTAGCATTTCGAGCTGCCGTTGAAACCCACACCTCCTTGAAGAATTTGTCACTCACTGGATCCTGAATGTCCTCACTTGGGTCAGAAAGATAACCAAGGACAACCCTGAAATATAAAGTACCTCCAATTTGAGTAGCTGAAAGAAGTTTGCCATTTGTTTTGTTTCTTATGGTAACAGTAATTCAAAATTCACCCATAGACACAGTTTTTGAAAATCAAAGAAAACCACTGAAACTAATTACATTGTCTATCTATCTATCTATCTATCTATCTATCTATCTATCTATCTATGCATCTGTGTACCCTATCTATCTACAGTGGATCCTCAAGTTACTACTGGCCTCAGATAATGAATAACTTGGTTACGACTGGAATTTTAGTTTAATTTACGACCAAAGTCTTGAGTTATGACTCAAACGCTGCCCACTTGTGCAGTTGTAAATAAAGACTGTGATGCCAGAAATGCATATGTAATTGTCAATCTAGGCCAAGATGTGTACATTTGTGGATGTGATTTTGGTTAGTGCTTTATATAATCACTATGATTACTGCTATCAAAATGGCCACCCAAAAGCTAGAACAGCTAATCGAGGATGAGATGGTACAGAATGCAACTACAACAGAAAAGAATTTGTACACTTTGGAAAAACATGAAAGTGGTGTTCATGTGCCCAATCTCGCTAATATGTACAGCATATTGAAATCCACCATCTTGACAATCTTACAGAAAATAGATTTGTATAATGAAGCTAGTGTTGCTAAAGATGATATTCAAATTAGTAAGTCACAATGAACAGTGTTAGACAAGTTAGGAAGGCTATTACTAGTGAAAGGCAGATGGCAGGTTATAGCCTGTCTGAGTCCATAATTTGTGAAAGAACTAGGGATATAAATGCAGACCTTGTAAAGCATAATCCTCAGTGAGTGACAAAGCTGAAACACTTTGTGCCAGGAAGGGGTAGTTTTATAATTTTAAAGCAAAAACTGGGGTTTATAGCATAACTAGGTATGGTGAAACCGCCAGTGCTGATAAAAGGGCTGCTAAAATTACACATACCACTTCAAAACAACACAGATACACGGCTTTTGCTCTTATTAAGTTTTCATGTGTGATGAACCCACTATTTTTGAAAAAAAAAAAAAAACAAAAAACAAAGAATAGAGAAGATACATTACTCAGGAGGAAAGGAAATGCCAGGCTGCAAGTCGTAATCTATGTATCAATGTGAGTGGTGACCTCAAGGTAAAGCCTCTGTTTATCACTCTGAGACCCCTAGAGGGTTCAGAAAACACGAAGCCATGAAGATCAGGCAAGGGATCATATGGAGATTTAACACAAAAGACTGGGTGACATGAGTATTTTTTCTTGAGTGGATCACAGAGGCTTTCTGTCCTATTGTTAAGAAGTATCTAGAGACAAAGGTTTACTACTCAAGGCTCTCCTCATCATAGACAATGCTCCTCTGGCTCTCAGTCTAGTTCCTCATACCTAATACAACTCCACTACAGCAGTCTATGGACCAGCAGACTACAGGTAATTTTAAGAAGCCATAATCAAGGAACTGTTCCTGAAGTACTTCCAGATGATCCAAGATTTAACCCTTAAAGAATTCTTGAAGGAATATTACAACATTCTTGTGTAGAAGTTAATTGAGAAATCCTGGGCCAGTGTCTGAGGGCCCCGAAATCTGCCTGGAAGAAAGAGTGGCTTAAAATTATACAGGAGAGAGACTTTGAAAGTTGTGTGGAGGAGCCTGAGTTTTCAATTTATCCCATGGCTGATGACACTGTCACTGTATCAGAGTCCACAGGCTTGCAGATAGAAAGTGGTGAGGTTAAGGAACACACAGAGGAGCTGTCTACAGAGGAACTTCAGCAACTTGTGGCTGAGTAACAAAGAATGGCAGCTGAGGAGCTTTCTGAAGGGCGGGGTGGTGGTGGTGGTAATAACAATCAGTGCAGCAAAGTTCTTTTAAAGTAAAGGAGATCCCGGAAAAAAATGGACAGAGCTACAAATGTTTGTAGAGATGACTCACCAAGACAGAGAAAGTCCAATCACTGCACTCACTTGCTTAATGACAATGCCATACTGTACTGAGAAGAGTGCTAAAGAAAAGACAGACAAAGAATCTTAGAAAAATTTTTAGTTCTGAAAGTTGAGACCTAGTAAGCCAGAAGCAGGTCCTAGTGGGCTACAGACCCTCCCAAGGAGAGAACGGACAAAAGTGAGCCAGATTCCTGATGTTCTTATGAAAGAGGACTCCTTTTTCAAACCATAACCACCTTCCATTTCAGCCTCCCTTCCTGCAAGCCAAAGCTGTCAATCTGAAGGGTGAGCACAGTACGGAAATTGTTGTTTCTGCACATTTTATAACGAGGTTTCTCCACATTTTATAACGAGGCATAACGTTTTGGTGATTACACCAGCAAAATTATTTGTGTTTCTGGTAAATTATGCACATTTTATAGCCCCTTTTATTATGAAAAGATTAGTTAAGAGGTGCTTTGAGAGGTTTGCAATAGCTTATGGGTATTTCTATTATTTCTTATGGGAAAAAATCTTGACTTATAACCAACTTGAGTTACAACTGGGTCTTGTGAACAAATTGAGTTCATAAATCAATGTTCTGTTTGTTCTATTTAACTTTCTTTCTATTATTTTTCTATCTATTCATCTAACCTTTTACATAGCAAAACAAAATGAAAATTAAAACCTTTTTCTTTGGTGTTTTAACGTACAAAACAACGCCTTAATTTTCTTTTAAGAGCAACCTTATAATTTGGCCTAGTCAAATTAGCACTCTAAAATGTGCCAGAAAATATGCCCTTTTGCTCTTTTCAAAACCTATCTAGTCACCTCTGAAAAAACAACACCTTCAATTTACAGATAAAGGAAGTGAAGCACAGAGAGGTGAAAGACCTTGTTTGAGTTCATACAATTGGTAAGTGTTAGAGCTTGGTCCACAACTAGGGTCAAATAATTGTGCTCTTGATCCTTCCTTCTGTCCCTCCATCCCTCTTTTTTTTCCTTCTATTCCTTCCTTCCCTATTGCCCTTTCTTCTCTTAAACCAAGCACTGTGTGAACTCTTGAAAAATATGTAGTATCTTTGGGTAGTTAAAGTGAGACCAAAAATGAAGAAATAATCATTCCTCCAAGAAATTAATCACAGTTTCCATTAAATACAGGATATACTTTCAGAACATAAATTGGATATTGTCAGGGAACATTTTCCCTCTTCTGCATGTTTGCCTAACTCCACCTACCATTTTCTACGATTCAGTGCAACATCAGCTCTATAAAACTTTTATATTTCCACTTCTCCTATCTACCAGTCAGTATTAGGCAATTACATTTCTTCACATGCTTTCTGTATGTTTCAGTTTTGTTAGAGAATTTGCAGTTTTTAGGCAGTCTTGTTTTTAACAGGCCCATCTCCCACTTCTAGAATGCAAATTCTTTATGAGACCTTGATTTAGCTACTCTCAAATCCCTGGGGTGCCTACACAAAAGAGGTCACATATAGGATATTATTTGAACTAATCAAATCTAAACAGAAGGCTAGAAATAACAAGAAATCATTAGACAAAGCAAGACAAGTTTTAGAGGTCACATTTAAAAAATACTTTCAGTTTTATGGAAGGCTATAGGATTCAAAAGCACTACCATCTTTATCCTGGAAGGCAGGAAGGAAAGAAAGATGGTTTTCATTTTGTCTTTAAAGTCTAGAGACATATTAATAATTAAGTTAAAATGCAAACGGCATATAAGCATGCTTCTCACATGTCTTATAGGCTCAAAGAGTATCAAAAGGGCCTGTGCTACCTGAAAAGAGAGTGGGGAAAACAAGCTTTATAAAGAGTTTGGTTTTTACAGTGAATGAAATGTAGATCCACCACAGACACTGGACAGAGGAGAACAGGATCTAACTAACATATTAAAATGTAACTGATATACTGAGAACAAACGTGAGGACATGGTTAACAACAAGGAGACTAGTTGGGAGCCACTCTGGTGACTTAGATGACATCTGATGACAGTTCTGGCCTGGTAGCAATGAAGGTGAAGTCAGATCCAAAGTTCAACTAACAGAGATGAGCAAGGATGGAGAAAAAAGGTGTCAAGGATGGAGAAAAAAGGTGTCAAGGATGATTGACAAGTTTCTATTTAGAGCATTGGGAGAGTGTAGCGGTCATTGGCTAGGCCAGGAAAGACTGTGGGTGTGGCCAGTTTGTGGGGCAAGACCAGGAATTCAATTTTGAGCATACTGAAACATCTATTTAACATTCAAGTGGCTGTGCTCAGTAGGCAGCTGGTCAAATGGATCCAGAGTTTGGGAGAGAAGGCCTGGTTGGCAATATATGCTCATAAAACCATATGTTCTTTACTGGGTCCACAAGAGGAGAGAGTATAAAAAGAAAAGGACCCAGTATCCCCCAACAGTAGTGGGGAAGAGCAGCCCTTACTGAGACAGAGGATGTAGCATTCTGAGACCACATAGAGAAGTGTGGCAAGGGGAAGTGTTGAATTCAGATAAAAATTAACCATCAGATTTAATACTATGGATATCAGTATACCAAATTTCACATACTGGGAAATTTTGCAGCCATTAAAAATGAGGTAAATCTACATTTACTGAAGTATAAAGAGAATAACAGTATACTTAAATGTAGATTAACAGTATACTTAAATTAATAACTTAATAAACATAGAATACAGTATACTTAAATATATGTAGAGTTACATCATTGTTTTTAATGGCAGCAAAATTTCCCAGCATGTGAAATTTAGATAACCAATTATTTCATTACCAATATTGTATAGTTTCTGATTTTTCTTTACTATGCACAGTGCAATAATGAGCATAATTTATAATGTTTTGTGAATTGCTATGATTATTTCATTACAAGAAATCCTAAAATTAAAATTCCTGGGTCAAAGAATATGCAAATTTATTCCAAAAGGGATGTACTAAGCCTTAAGTGCTCCACCAGGCATTTTCCCCCATTTGCCTTTAACACTATCAATTCACAAAAAAATCTCAGCCAACTTTATAGGGATAAAAGGCAGTACATTTTAGTTTTAATTTACACATTTTCTGCTATA